TACAATTCTTGAAAAAGAAAACATTCCTAACTTAAAATAACTTGGACCCTAATCTTTCCCCTTTTGTAGAGTCCGACATATTTCCTCACAACACCATCCGTACGTAGTACATTGACGTTGTCCACAAATGTCATCTATAAAATAGCCGATTCCAACACTGCATCAAACCAACCGACATCGAATCACACCTGATCGATTCCTTGATGATACAATCTTAGAAGTTTCAAGTTCCCGCGTTCTTCTTTGCCAAATTTTGGTGTAAACACATCCAAAAGACATGAGAATTTATACTGGTTTAGGCTGGAGCCCTACGTCGATTCTCAGAGATGATCGAGTGCGTGTTCCTCTCTTGAATGCTCTAAAGTTCTTATAATGGCGGGTGCAAGAATGGTAGAAGAGGTAGGAGAGCTAGAGCTAGGAGACGGGCTACCTGAAGGGAAGCTTCTGGAGCCCTTCTACGGTGTAAGAATCAGTGAATGAATGTCGGATCCCTTAGATGGGTGCCCTGTATGCCCCTTATATAGAGATCGGGGCTAGGGTGTATACAAAGAGGAAGGTTCTCCCGACTGAAGGGTCGTAAGCCTGAGGGATTACCTAGCTAACTTGGCTTGCAAGCTACGCCATCTTGTGGTGCACGTCTGGACATGGTTGTCGTCACAGTCCTGTGGCCATGTTGTGGCATGGTGTGACATGGTGCTACTGTGCCGGCTATGATGGCACTGTAGGCATGGTGGTGGTTCGCCAGCCATCCTTTGCAACGTAGTCTCCACCATGGTCTTCGTCATCGCCTCTTGGTTTTCAGGGGCGTCGTACAGGTGTTGGTAGCTGCCCCCGTGTCGTCGATTGCCCTGTGGGCTTGAGACACTGAGGGCCATGATCCCAATCATTGAGGTCCTAGCTCCCGCCAGTCTAGATGGCCTCTAAGTCAAGGCCCTCATCGTGGATCCCATCCCACGGTGGGTAGAATCATACAGGCATCTTGTTGGGCCGTATCTGGATGGTGAGCTATATACCGGCCGCCACTACCTTGGGCGGTGTTGTCTTGTCCATGGTGTGTGGCGTAGAGTGGCGTCTGACCGGACCGAGGTTACCACTGTCCCTTTGGTCCTTGCGGGGTCAGTGTGGCATGCCTACCCTTGTTAGAGCGGGCAGGTTTAGCTGGGTGTGACCTCTCCCCATTCCTCTCGAGGGTCGAGATGGCAGAGAGGTCGTGAGTCTCTTGCATGTCGTGCAGCTAAGATAGAAGGAGGGGTCACGGCCGACCCTGGCCTTGGCGTTGATCCTGTTCTGTTTGGCTCAGCTGGGCCTCGTTCGCTCGGGCCTTCGCTGGCTGATGCATTATGGGCTGCTCATCCTGCTTGTTAATCAGTGCCTTGAGACACCTGGGGATTATAACCCCGACAGTAGCTCTCGAGCATTTTTGCGATCATGAAGTGATCGTAAAAGCACTGTGATGCATGCATGTCGGGTGCTGGTTCATATTTCGTAGCTCGTTCGAGCTTCGTCGCTCGACCCCTTGCGGGCAGGTGCGTTCAATGCGGTAGGTGGCCATTGTTCTCCACCTCATCAGGGTGCCCTGACGATGTGGTACGTGACCGCTGAGCCCTGTCGTGTCAGTATGATGTGTATTAGGGTTCATGACTCAGGCAGGACTGAGTGCTCTCGTCGACGCTGTACCGGCCCTGCCTTTGTGAGAGTCTCGATTTTACCGACCTCACGTAGGCATCTAATATTGGCTATGACCTCCCATGGTTCGCCACATGGCGTGGAGGTCTTAGGCTATTGAGTCTGTCCTTGGCCTATAAATGGAGGCCTTTCTACCGTTTGAGACACCCATCACCGTTACTACGAACTGTTCTTTCACCTCTCCGAGCGGCTAGGTGTTGCAAAGGTGAGGAAATGGAGAGAGAGATTCTAGGGGAACTAGTGTTGCGAGGGTGAGGAAATGGAGAGAGAGAGAGATTCAAGGGGAACCGCACGGTTCCCATTATACATCCCTCTAGGGTCGTTCGTGGTGGTCGAAGCTAGTGTCGCCCTTTCTGGCAGCTGGTGCTAGAAGGAAACTTGCGAGTAGGGGAGGACCGGGGAGGTGCTCAGGCCATTTTCTAGGCTCAGTGGTTTGAGTAGCTCCTAGTCCTTTTAAGTTTGGGTTCACTAAAACACTGGTTCTAGTGGCCACGATCAGCTTTCCTGAGAAACCATGGGAGTCGGTTCCCTTTTGTTTCCTAGGGTGTGATGGTGGTGGCTTCTGAGACCACCAACCCTAACCTCTCCTGTGTGCTTTGGTCTAGAGGTGCGGCGAGGAGATTCGCGAGGGGCTCCTTGTTGCTCCTCGTGCCCATGGAGCTCACCCCTGAATGTTTTCGCGGTATCACCTTCGAGGTGATACCTGGTTTTGGCACTTCAGGGGAGGTCTGTCCACCCCTATTTTTGGAGGTACTGAGCTCGGAAATTTTTCCCCCAAGTTTTGCGCTTCCATAGCGATGACAGGCCCCCGAGCTTCGAGGCCGGGGTCATCCTCTCGCCTAGGATCATCGGAGGGGCAGGTTTTGGCCTGACGGTTCAAAGAACCATTTCCCTGACCTCTCTTTGCACGGTAGCAAGGTTTTTGGCGGCTGTGTGGTGGATTGTAGGCCATGTACCTTTTGTTTATTCCACATGACCGAGCCGTGATCATGTTTTGGGCTCCACATTGCTTCATATGGAAGGCGTTGTTGTGTTACCTAGGTATGTCTCTGCTTCATCGATCTCTCCCAAGAGGTCATGAACCTTCCGATGGTTTGTGAGCCTCCAAAGCTAGCCTTAGGTCATTGTACACGGAGGTGTCGGGAGGCATTTCGATTGTGGCTGGCCTCTACTCTTTTTGGGGTCATGGGGACCCGTCTTTTATTTTTTCCCTAGCACCTTTGCTTGACCTAGAGAGGTCGTGATGCCTTGTTACAGGCGGGTTTGGTTTCACCCCATGCGGGGAGAGGCATGTCCACTATAACCACATGGTCAGAGCTGTGTGCCTCATCAGTGTCGATGGGTAATCCAGGCAGGATATGATATCCTCCCTAATCGATGTGGAGTTCGATTGTGCCGCATTGAGAGACATCCCATAAATTGTAATTTGTCAAACTGTTGGTCCCCGGCCCTTTCTTGCTTGGGTCGGATGGCAAAATGCCTCCCTAGAGGGGTCACCCCTGTGACTTGAAGTGGGACGACTTGGACACAGAGAGAGATGGTCATGTGGATCTGCACCACTGATTAGAGCTGCAAGGGCCCATCTCCTCCCTGCCCCTATCCCTTTTGTGGCCTCGAACCCTTCTAAGGGCTGGCCGAAGAGAGGTCTTCGTATGTGAGACGCGGGTCATGGTTGCGATGGGTCAGTCTGCACATGATCTTGGGGGCGGTTGGCCTCCCCGGTCATGTCGTGGCATAATGGCACCCACTCGCGAGCAATCGTGCGCCGTGGGATGCGGGCGTGTAAATCAAAAAGATATGGAAATGGTGGGGAGTCACAAAGCTTACTTGGTTCGTGACGCTGTGTGGGCAACCGTCATTCCACCTTCCCTTCGATCGCTTCACCTGCTCTGCGGGGTTTTCCAAGCTGTTAGTAAGTGTGAATGAACGCGCATGCGCCTTGAGTGTCCTTAGCAGCAATAAATACACTTGGAGCGGTACGGCGGGGAGGCATTTGCTTTGAGTCGCTTGCTCCACTACTTCCCTATTCTCGCTCTTGCGCACCCAGAGTTCCTTCCTCATCGGCTAGAATGGACCATGGCAAATGACCATTGGAGGAGTTGTCAGATGCCGGTAAGGCACCGCCGCCTCTTCGTCCTTGCCTGCGGGATCAAGGGTATGTGCATTCGGATGATGTTCAAGTTTGAAGGTTCAACCTATGTTCACTATGTGTGTTTGCAGGGCTGCCTCCCATGCCGCTTCCGAAGGGGCCGCCAGCGCTGCTCATGCCATAACCCCACCCATAGGGGGGTCAAGCTCGTCGTTGTCCTCCTTAGATGATCGGCGTGAATTCCGCAAGCTCATCCGTGGGGTGGATGAGGCCCGCCAGCGCTACTCTGACGCCACCCGCGAAGTGAGCCAGCTGGAGCGCTGTCTTGACGCCGTCAAGGTGGCCCTTGAGTCCTTGGACAGGGAGACCACCACTATGCAGGTGGTGGCTGCCGACGCCTAGGCCTGCATTGTGTGTAAGGGTGCTTCTTCATCTTGTTGTCCTGTTCGTTCTTTGCCATTCCTGATCTTCCTGTCTTCTTGTTGCCAGCGTTGGACGAGTAGCTGGTGGTCTACCACCACGAGACAGAGGAGGCTTGCCTCCGGGAGGTTCTCCTGATGGAGGATCACGAACGCACGGTGATGGCCGGAGTCCAGCAAGGAGTTGGCATTGTCCACGCCGCCCTATAGCTCCACACCGACCAGGACTTTCATTAGGTGGTGCCTAGGTTCCCTGGCCATGCTGGGCAGGCGAAGCGGGTGGAGCCGGTCGGCGACTTTGCTGCCACTATGGCT